TAACATCACTGCTGATTTGGGATTTCTGTGGGAAAAGCAAGTCTTATGGCTTGACTGGTGTGCAGATTTTTGTTTAGCATTGTATTAACTATCCACATACTTCAGGTGGAAGGGGTTTTCAATCACAATTTTTCCCCACCATAACCTAATTGGATTTTGCTATATATATATATATATATATATATACAGTTGCAATAAAAAGTATGTGAACCCTTTGGAATTATATGGATTTCTACACAAATTGGTCATAAAATGTGATCTGATCATCATCTAAGTCACAACAATAGACAATAACAGTCTGCTTAAACTAATAACACAAAGAATTAAATGTTGCCATGTTTTTATTGAACACACCATGTAAACATTCACAGTGCAGGTGGAAATAGTATGTGAACCCCTAGGCTAATGACATCTCCAAGAGCTAATTGGAGTGAGATGTCAGCCAACTGGAGTCCAATCAATGAGATGAGATTGGAGGTGTTGGTTACAGCTGCCCTGCCCTATAAAAAACACACACCAGTTCTGGGTTTGCTTTTCACAAGAAGCATTGCCTGTTGTGAATGATGCCTCGCACAAAAGAGCTCTCAGAAGACCTACGATTAAGAATTGTTGACTTGCACAAAGCTGGAAAGGGTTATAAAAGTATCTCCAAAAGGCTTGCTGTTCATCAGTCCACAGTAATACAAATTGTCTATAAATGGAGAAAGTTCAGCACTGCTGCTACTCTCCGTAGGAGTGGCTGTCCTGTAAAGATGACTGCAAGAGCACAGCGCAGACTGCTCAGTGAGGTGAAGAAGAATCCTAGAGTGTCAGCTAAAGACTTACAAAAGTCACTGGCAAATGCTAACATCCCTGTTAGCGAATCTACAATACGTAAAACACTAAACAAGGATGGATTTCATGGGAGGATACCACAGAGGAAGCCACTGCTGTCCAAACAAAACATTGCTGCACATTTACAGTTTGCACAAGAGGACCTGGATGTTCCACAGCAGTATTGGCAAAATATTCTGTGGACAGATGAAACCAAAGTTGAGTTGTTTGGAAGAAACACACAACACTATGTGTGGCGAAAAAAAGGCACAGCACACCAACATCAAAACCTCATCCCAACTGTGAAGTATGGTGGTGGGGGCATCATGGTTTGGGGCTGCTTTGCTGCGTCAGGGCCTGGATGGATTGCTATCATCGAAGGAAAAATGAATTCCCAAGTTTATCAAGACATTTTGCAGGAGAACTTAAGGCCATCTGTCTACCAGCTGAAGCTCAACAGAAGATGGGTGTTGTAACAGGACAATGACCCAAAGCATAGAAGTAAATCAACAACAGAATGGCTTAAACAGAAGAAAATATTCTGAAGTGGCCCAGTCAGAGTCCTGACCTTAACCCGATTGAGATTCTGTTGCATCACCTCAAGAAAGCGATTCACACCAGACATCCCAAGAATATTGCTGAACTGAAACAGTTCTGTAAAGAGGAATGGTCAAGAATTACTCCTGACCGTTGTGCACGTCTGATCTGCAACTACAGGAAACGTTTGGTTGAAGTTATTGCTGCCAAAGGAGGTTCAACCAGTTAATAAATCCAAGGGTTCACATACTTTTTCCACCTGCACTGTGAATGTTTACATGGTGTGTTCAATAAAAACATGACAACATTTCATTATTTGTGTGTTATTAGTTTAAGCAGACTGTGATTGTCTATTGTTGTGACTTAGATGATGATCAGATCACATTTTATGACCAATTTTTGCAGAAATCCATATCATTCCAAAGGGTTCACATGCTTTTTCTTGCAACTGGATATATGTTAATACCTGGTAATAAGCCTTACTATCCTCCATAAGTGGACTGCAGTAAATATATATATATATATATATATATATATATATATAAATATATAACTATCATTGTGATGTCATAACACTTGTGCCCTATATTCCCCTTTTATAAACACAAACATAAGCCATTCTTGGTAACATACATGTTCCCTGCCAGGGTTTATATCACTCACTTTGTGTGGCATTGTGTGCTGTGAGTGATGGTATTAGTGCTGGCCTTGCGCTTCCTGCTTATGGTTTGGTATGTGACTCCCCTCCATGCCCCTGTAGATAGGGGGGGAGCGGACCTGTGGGTGCTCTCCATTCCCTTGGCGATACCGTGGGGGAGGGGGGGTACCATGCAATGCTGGAGACCCCGGGGGTATGTGTGATCCCTACTACATGATACAGACTGTGTACAGTGTACCCGTCTGTACTCACTGTTAAGCGTGGCAAACAGCCGTTTGTTCTGGGTGGCAGCTAGGCAGCTGGGTGGCAGCTTCTGGGTTCCGACTGGTGGAGATCCAGAGGAGCATTGAAGTGCTCCTGTTCTCGGGTAGGCGTTCAGCAGTATGAGTCCCCAGCAGTAGTCAGCTCGGTAAGGTAGGGAAGGGGGGGAGTCCCTTTTAAAGGTGCATAAGCCCCTCCCACAACTCCAGGCCAAGCCTTCTAATATATATTATACATATATATGTATAATGTATAATATATAAAAAATTATTAAAACATTTTATAATATATAATATATTATACATATTTATCTCAAAATACACATAATGAAATCATATATATGGATTATATATGTATAAAATATTATAAAATGCTTTAATTATAATATATTATACATGTATAGGAAATAAAAGTATGTGTGTGTGTGTGTGTACATACATACATACACACGTATTACCTGTGTGTGTCTGCATATATATGTATGTATATATATATATATATATATATATACATACACACACACTCATATAATATATATATAAATAATTAATATAAATTGGAAAAAAAAACATTTATAAAAAACAAATAAAAAAAGCTAACTTTGGCCAGTGTTTGTGTCTAAGTGGCTACTACAAATGACTGTAAATACCACATTTGGAATAAACTGGGTTGTCTACATTTGCAAATGGTATGCCATGATAGGGTTATTTCACATTCCTGGGCTACCATATGGTCTCAAAAGGCAACACAGACCCAGCAAACCAATCTGGCAAACTGAATTGGGCAAGCCCTATATTGACCCTGTAACTTTCCAAAACACCATAAAACCTATATATAGGGGGCATTGTTATACTTGGGAGACTTCGCTGAACACAAATATGCCTTTTTTTTTTATCACGACGATGAAATCACCTGGACATTCCCCATTCTGAATACCGTGGGTTGTATACTTTTACAAATGGTATGCCATGATTGGGTTAGTTTTCATTCCTGGGCTGCTATATGCTCTCAAAGTCAACCAGCAAACCAATCTGGCAAATTTCAATGTGCTAACATGGAAAAGGGGAAAGCCCTACATTTGACCCCTGTACGTTTGCAAAAACACACACAACCTGTACATTATGTGCACTGTTTTACTCAGGAGATGCTGTTGAACACATATTGGGGTGTTCTTTGTCAGTAATATATAACAGGAACTGAGAGGCCATGCCTAAAATACAATGTGAGAGAAAAATAACACAAAAAAAGACTACCCAAAAATTTGACAAAGACTGGTGGGGAAATTAGTGCATGGAAAGTATTAAATACCACCATTTGAAATACCCTGAGGTGCCTACTTTTCAAAAATATATGGTTTGATTGGGGTAAATTACATTGGCCGGCTTCCAAATGTCCCAAATAGGACATAGGTGTATGATGACCAGCTGTGAAAATTCCAAGTTAGAAAACTGGAATGTGCACCCTCCAAATAAGGTATTTTAGCCCCCAGAGAACCTAACACACTTATACATGTGGGGTATCACTGTACTAAGGAGATGTTGCTGAACACATATTGGGATGTTCTTTGGCAGTATCCCTTAAAGTTCTCAGTACATGTATTCTTAAATTGCTATGTGTCTCAAAAATCACTAATTATTCTTTTTTTTTAAATTTGGCATAGATTGGTGGTAATATGGTTGCATTAAAAGTCAAAATACCCCAAGTTTAATACCTTAGGATGTCTTCTTTTAAAAAACATTTACATGTGAAGGGTCAGTGTTACAATGTAACTTGTGTTAATTTTGAAAAAAAAGTTCGAAAAAGTGTGTTTTCTTACATTTTTCATTATATTTTATATATTTTTATAGTAAATTATACGATATGATGAAAATAATGGTATCTTTAGAAAGACCATTTAATGGCGAGAAAAACTGTAAATTATATGTGTGGCTACAGTAAATGAGTAAGAGGCAAATTACAGCTAAACACAAACACCGCAGAAATGTTAGAAGAGCCCTAGTCCTTAACGGTAAGAAAATTTTAAAATGGTCTGGTCACTAAGGGGTTAAAAGGGGAAGCCAATACGACACTGCAGCCTTACTAATATTACAGAATACACTTGCGCAAATCGGATTTCCACGCGTAAACGGCATGGCATGATTGTTTGATTCCCGCCTGTGCATTCACAAGAATTTTAACACCACAAAACCGACCTTAGAGCAGAATACAAAGCGGTGAAGAGCCATGAAATAAAATGAAAGGCTGGGATAAAAAAACAGAGCAGCGAATAGCTGAGAATGCCCGTTATCAAGTAGAGAGGCATAGCAATAAGTTAATAAAGTGGCAAATAGCCATTAATGCCTAAAACCAATATAGAGGCACAGAATATTGTAATAAAAGTGGCGGATAGCTGAAAATGCATAAGAGAAATCAAAAGGTATAAAAATCAGCGAATAAAGCGGAGAATAGCCGCACATGTATTTTACAAGTCACAGAAACATAGAAAAAATTAATAAAGCAGCGAATGGTCGGGAATGCATATGTAAATGTAAAGAGTACAAATGATGTTTAACCAAAAAAAAAAGTCATTTTTAGATATTCTCTAATTACCCAATTCAATAGTATTCATTTAATCTATCTCAAATGGATGATGTGCTGGGAATTGAACATGAGACCACCTAGAAATGAACAGTTTGTGATGATGCAGTAACCCACTGAGCTATCTCACCAGACCTATGAATATGAGAGTCCAATGGCTTTATTAAAAGGCCCAATAGAGGCCTATGAAAAAGTGAAACCAGTGGATGTATTAACCCCTTAAGGACGGCAGGCGTTTTATGCCATCCTTAGGGAACCGGCTCTAAATGCCGGAGAGCGGCATAGAACGCCCAAGCCGTCCTTTCTACTAACGTGGTATGGGGACTTACCTGGGAGTCCAGGTAGTCCCCCTCTGTCCGCTTCGGCCCCCCTGGGCCATGTGATCGCGAGGTCCTTGCGAGGACCTCAAGATCACATGGACAGCATAGCCGTCCATGTCAATGCCAGCAGGGGGAGTGCCTGTAATGACAGGTACTCCCCCTGCTGTCTGAAATAAATATTAAAACAGTGTAAAATAACATTATATATACTTAGATCATATATATATATATATATATTTATTATATATATGATCTAAGTATATATATACACATATACATACATACACATACACTGTCTAAGTGTATTTTGATATTAATATATATATATATATATATATATAAAATTATTTATATATAATTATATATATATATATATATATATAAATATCAAAATAAACATACAATGATATTGATTAAATATATATATAATTTTCATTATATATATATATTTATATATAATATAAAAAAAATTGTAAATACGTTAAAAAATAAAATAAGCTTTCTCTGGTTGGCAGGCATCGAGCACTCTGAGGGAGTGCCTGCCAACTGCAAAGGTTCCATCACCACCTCTGTATCATATGCGGATTTTCACTCCTAATCATATGGTTGCAAAGTCTCGTTTCTGGTACTTTGTATCTCAACTTAAGAAGATGAAGAAGGCATTAGGAGAAATTGTTTATTGTGGCCAGGTCTATGAGAAAACTCCACTGAAGGTGAAAAACTTCGGAATCTGGCTGCGTTATGACTCTCGTAGTGGAACACACAACATGTACAGGGAATACAGAGAATTGACCACAGCTGCTGCTGTAACTCAGTGCTACCGTGATATGGGTGCTCACCATCGTGCTCGTGCCCATGACATTCAGATCATGAAGGTTGAGGTGATCCCTGCAAACAAATATCGTAGACCTGCCATTAAGCAATTCCATGACTCAAAGATCAGGTTCCCTCTGCCACACAGAGTTCTGCGTCACCAGCACAAGCACTGATTCACCACCAAGAGACCAAACACCTTTTTCTAAACAAGGCAGAAATAAATATTCTCTTGTTCTTTCGGCTAATAAAATTATTTCAAAATTAAAAATAAATAAATAAAATAAAAAAATAATAAAAAAATATATATGTGTAAATTCGTTCTAACTGTATTTTAAAATTAATATATATTTATATTAATATTAAAATATATGTAGAATGAAATAATATATATACATCTATATACATAAGTATATACGTATATATCACTATATATATATATATATATATATATATATATATATATACCTATATATAAATAAAAATAATTGTAAAAAATTATATACATGTATATATCTATATATATACACACATACATATAATAATTCTATGTATATATTCAGGTAATAAAATTTCATAATTAGCTAATTTTATTAATTACAATTAGCGGGACCTGCCTGACAACCCAGGCCAAAAGTCCAGGGAATTTAATTTGCTAGCACTATATTTAACCCTGTAACTTTCCAAGACACCATAAACCCTGTACATGGGGGGTACTGTTTTATTCGGAAGACTTCGCTGAACACAAATATTAGTGTTTCAAAACAGTAAAATGCATTACAACAACGATATTGTCAGTAAACGTGATATTGTTTGCATTTTTCACACACAAATGACACTTACACGGACAATATAATTGTTGTGATATGGTTAACTGTTTTGAAACACTAGTATTTGTGTTCAGCGAAGTCTCCTGAGTATAACAGTACCCCTCATTTACAGGTCTTATGGAGTTTTCAAAAGTTATAGAGTCAAATATAAGGCTTGCGTTTCAGTTTTTTTCACATTGAAATTCGCCAGGTTGGTTAGTAGCCACTTAGTCACAAACACTGGCCAAAATTGGCGTTCAAATTCGTTTTTTGCATTTTTCACACACAAACAAATATTAACACTAGCTTTGACCATTGTTTGTGACCAAGTGGCTACTAAAAAAGACTGGACATACCCCAATTGCAATTCCTTGGGTTGTCTACTTTTGAAAATGGTATGCCATCATGGGTGTAATTCTCATTCCTGGGCTACCATACGGTCTCAAAGGCAACGTAACCAATCTGGCGAATTTCAATGTGAAAAAAATGAAAAATTTAACATGCTATATTTGACCCTGTAACTTCCCAAACCCCCATAAAACCTGTACATAAGGGGTACTGTTTTACACATGAGTACAAATATGTGTATTTTATTGCAATAAAAGCAAACAGTATTATGACACTCACCGTTAGAATGTCACATAGAACTAAATTTATTTTAAAAATTCTTATTTCCGACTTTTTTATATTTTATTCATATTAAATTATGTTTTATACCTAAATATTTGATGTTAAATGAAAGCCCTGTTTTCCCCTGAATAAAATGATGTATAATAAGTGTGGGTGCACATGATATGAAAGAGGCGAATTACGCCTGAACAGACATATAGCGCAAATTCAAGTTTTTGTTTAAGTTTTGTTTTGATCACAACGTGTACATTTGGCTCAGACCTTAAGGGGTTAAAAGCCATACAGGCCCAGGAATAAGAAAATTCAGCTGCTATATTAAGAGGCCTAGAAGTAGTGAAACTGTATACAAATGATTTCACTTCACAACATGGGTTGCTCCAGCCACCTGTGCCATGCCCTGCTTTTTTCTGGACAAGAAGAATTGCATGTATGTATCTCCTGAACTATGCACTATGCTCACTGGTGGAAAGAGCTCATCTGACACTCTCAGACAATGACAGCAGCCTTGCACATCCCTGCTTAGCTAAGCAAAGCTAATCAGATTCTCTTTGCAGGAGAATAATGAAGCAGAGATGTGGACAAGCTGTCAAACTGTTCTTAAAGGGACACTGTAAGAACTGTAACTGCCCTCTCTCATTGAAGTGGTCATAATGTCTGGAATTCCCTGGTACAATCCTTCTATTCAATGTTAAACTAATTTAAAGGGACACTATAGTCACCAGAACAACTACAGCTTTTTAAATTTGTTCTGGTGAGTAGAATCATTACCTTTTCAGAGAAAATGCAGTGTTTACATTACAGCCTAGTGATAACTTCACTGGCCACTCTTCAGATGGCTGTTAGAGATCCTTCCTGGGTCATGGCTGCCTAAAATGCATCCAAACATTGTATCTCCACCCTCTGCATGCAGACACTGAACTTTCCTCATAGAGATTCATTGATTCAATTTATCTCTGTGAGGAGATGCTGATTGGCCAGGGCTGTGTTTGAATCATGCTGGCTCTGCCCCTGATCTGCCTCCTTGTCAGTCTCAACCAATGCCATGGGGAAGCACTGTGATTGGATCAGGCTACCACTTCTGATGATGTCAGCAGACTGTTTGTTTTTCGGAGGCAAACAACATGCAGATATACAGCTTCAGGCTTGAATATAGTAAGGTTTTTACTATATTTATGGAGGCATGAGTGGCCCAGGGGGGCTAGATGGTGGCTTTAACACTATAGGGTCGGGAATACATGTTTGTGTTCCTGACCCTATAGTGATCCTTTAAAATTGTTTAAAGAAACAGGCACCATAACAAGTTATTCAAAATTAAGTTGTTATGGTACTAGGAGGTCTCTGGCTTTAGCTCACCTTAGCAGTTAAACCATTTTTGAGCAGTTTAACCCCAAATTCTGTGTTCTCTCTTAGAAACATAGAATGTGAAGGCAGATAAGAACCATTCGGCCCATCTAGTCTGCCCAATTTTCTAAATACTTTCATTAGTCCCTGGTCTCATCTTATAGCTAGGATAGCCTCATGCCTATCCCATGCATGCTTAAACTCCTTTACGGTGTTAACCTCTACCACTTCAGCAGGAAGGTATTCCATGCATCCACTATCCTCTCAGTAAAGTAATACTTACTAATAATACATAGACCATCTGATTGAAATACCAGCTTTTAACTCTGCTATTTGACAGAAGCGCCTCTGGTGACTGTCAGTATGTCAGCCACTACATGCAGGCTAACCCTACAATAAAAACATTGCTGTTCCTGCAGAACGGAAATGTTTTTAGCTTCAGGGTTGCAATGTGGGGCACATGGCATACAGACTACTTAATTGAGCTGAAGTGGTCCTTTCAAAACTAAAACAATGTTTGGCTTCCCATCTGTTAGGGACCAGGAACAAGAAAGAGACAGAATGTAGATGCAAAACACCTTTATTATAAATAGCAAATAAAGAAATAACCAAAAGCAAAATCCAGGAAGCAAGCAGGGATCAGGCACCAGAGCAAGTAGTCAGGAACAAGGCCAGAAGTCAGGAACCAGAAACACACAAGAAACAGGGAGTCTTCTGGGAAACAGGAAACCACGCAAGGGCATGGAGGTACTGGGACTTGCTGCTTAAATAGGCTGCACTGATTAGCAGCAGGGCTGGTTACTACAATCAGGTGAGTAACTTTGCCAACATTAATGAAGAAGCAGATCGTTAAAATCACCTAAAAACTAAGAAACAGAGAAAGGAAGGGTTGCTGTTCAAAACAACAAAGAAACCCTGACACCGTCCACCCTCCATGCAGTTTGTCCTCTACACGTTTAGCCAACTCAAGTTAATTTTAAAGGATAGATGATATTTTTGCCTGATTGAGTTCGACTAATTACTTTGCATGATTTCTAAATTTGGCACATGGGTGTAGCTAGGCAGTTGCAAGAATATCTTCCAACAGGAAGAACATGGAAAATATGTCCAGTTCCTTAAATCATACTTGCACAGGAATTTTTTTAATTTTATTTTACAAATTGGATTACTCACAATCAATGATAGAGGTCTGAAGTTTATTTCTGGGATGACCCTGGTTCAGTCCATATTGATTTGCTAATTTATATTAAAAAACCCTAAAAACATTGACATGGACCATTGGTTATCTTTAAAAAAGCCAATCAATTAAACTATACTTTATTTTGAGATTAAGATCCACATTTTTTTTTCTGATTTGGGCTGTTTGATGAACCCCCTACAAAAGATAGGATATAGTATAATGGAGTGATATCTTATTGCATTTGAGATGTGAGGTATTCCAAAGCTGATTTATTGTTATTTATTAGATTTTCAAAACTGGACTCAAAAAGAGGGACAGGAAATAAGGCGAAAATGGAGCAAACCAAACTCCCATAAAGTCTCAACTTTTCAGGCTAAGAGGATGACGTCTCCAAAGATATACATTTTCAGGCATTAGATAACTCTGATTCTAAAAAAGGTAATTGTATTCATTATATTTATATGCATACAAGAAGATTCTAAAACCTATATGGCACACATTGAAATATGGTAAAAAAATAAATAATAATTTCCCCATATCCAGGTCATATAAAAGTTATAAAACAAGTGATACAAAGATTAAAGTAATCAAGAATTCAATCCCATAAAGCCTTTCAGTTGTTAGTTATCCACGATGCACAACTCATCACCAGGTAATATTTTCAGAAATATTGGCAATGCCACAAACTACTCAGGGGAGGCAACAACAAGTATTTTTCATTTATGTAGAAGAGTTTTGTGTTTATCCCATCTGTCCATAGTACATATTTCTTAACACTCTCTGTAGTCATGGTGGACTTTGACATATTGTAGAGAAGTAGAAATTTTGTTTTTTCTTGAGGGCAGTGATTTCCCTTATATACAATTCTATTTTAGTCTTCTCCATTTGGTAGCTTATGAAAGCAGATATTGGGTTTAAATGTAATATTACTATTAAGAGGTTCATTCAGAATTAACCTTGGAACTATAACAGCTTATGATCAATGATTGAAAAAGAATTATACACTCTACTGTAGGCAAATATTGACAAAACTGTAATGTATGAATATCCAGCTCCATTAATATTATTAGACAGATAATTAAATATAAAGATCAGGAAAAAGGTTCAGCGCTGATAAGAAACAGGGAATATGACAACAAGGCAGCACACCTTAAAAAGGGGAATCCCCTCTGAACCCCTTGAAATACAATGGAGAAAAAAAGAAGGAATAAGGGTGCGCCTAAAACAAGTGGAAATAACAAAATAATAATATAAATGTAGGAATAGCAGCAATAACAAAACGTCCGAAAAAGTGTCCAAATATTATATAAAAATT